CATTTAGCCCTGTCTAATAACTTAAGCTTTAGATCAAGTGATTCACTATGGTATCACATTAGCCACATGTTCTAGGTTCAAATCTCGTCGCCCTCCATTTAAATGAATTGTATACATTTAACCTTATTTAACAACTTAAACTTTTAGATCAAGTGGTTCAACAATATGGAAAGAAAACCAATCTTTCTCTATGAGACATTCAATCCTAGCAATTGGCAAATTTCGTAGTAGCCAGTTTAAGCAGTCATCTCTAGGATTTCTAAATGTAATGCCACCAGTTTCAGTGAGAATTGAGCCAAAACCACAACTCGCCTCCAGGCTCCCAAACCCCTTGCTTCCTTTTATCCCAAACACGTCAGCCCTGGGAGCTTAATAACAAACTCGCTTAATACTTCTTTTTTTGTTTCCTTTTCAGAGTTAAATCATATATACAATCCCCGTGATCAGGCTCAGAACCTGTTGATGCTGGTGACAAAATTTAAGTAACATGAAGGAATGTTTTGGCTTGGACCTCTCGAAAAGGCAACAGGCCAATCATCAAATCCGAAAGTGTTCAATTTCCCAACTTTAATTAATTTTCAAGAAATATGAATGCAGTAGATAATATATGGCAGTTTATGTTTCCATAATAAAAGCATTAAAGCCATCAAAGCTTACCTCTCCAATATCCAAAACATTCAGCTTATTCTGGGGTTCAACCTGTTGCCCAACCCAGACATAAATATCCGAGTGACAGTCAAGAATGAATATATCTTCAGTCATTAGATCATCTTGGTTGAAATTGTGTATTTCTGTCACCTGCAATATAAATTCTGATTCAATGTTGCAGGGGACAATCTAAGAGAACAAGACTATGCGGTTAATGCCATATTTTGGCTTGTCATTTCATGAAACCGTTAGTATCTTATGATAAACTTCAAAAGACATAGGTACAACTGTAAATAGGCCGGTGGAAGGAAAAGAGGTTCATAAAAAAAATAAAAAATTCACAGAACGCTGTTTTGGACAAACAAGGCCTTCATTCCCAGCTACTCAACTGAGTAGATAAGAGAAGTTATGGAATCTAGAGTATTAGTCAAATTCATTGCCGTTATTTCTCCAGTAAATAAAACCATATGAGAAAAGGGCATACCTTCAAACCTCCTGAGACAGCGATAAATTCAGCAGCAATCAATGTAATGAATGAATGAAATAATCCAGTTAGTACAACTCAAAATATGAAGTCTGATTTCAAATATTCAAAAACAAAAATGTTATAGCAATGATTTTTTTTCTTCACACCCTTTGAGAAATTGCATGAGAATAGATGAGGATCACTTTCGGCATCTCTTGCGATTTTCTGGCTTGGGTATTCAGATTTTCCACCCAACAAATCCCAAAACTGCTCAGATTCTGCACCTTCCTTCTGCAGTCTGGATTGTATATTGGGCTGCAAGTATGAAGCGTGACGAGTAATTTAGATAGGTAAACAATCATTGGCAAAACACAACATTAATTTTTCTCACATGACGTCTTTCTGTTGTTAGATAAAATATTCAAATACGGCGGACAAATGCTGAAGATGGTTAAAGTATCACAACTCTGCAGTTAAAAATATTAAAGACAAACAAAATGATCTGGGACAAAATAAAACCTCTAAATGTTGAAACAACTCTTGCAGGAAAGGAAGTATCATTAACAAATATCAGACCTTTATAAGATCCAGCTGCCTCTCGACAAGTTCATGGTCTTCAGATGTTGTAAGGTTTCCGGACCAGGTAAACACAGAGGAGCCACTATGGAGTATGTAACAATAGGAAGAATTCAAAGATGATGCCACCTGAATCAAAATAAATAATGAAATCATAGCAGTACTACTATGATTTAGCTAAGCTGTGTAAAAAGATGCAGAGCAAGAAAATCATATAAAATATTATATGGTTCATAAATTGGGCAAATTAGCAAAATGATGTATGCTTTTGGTCATAAAACTGAATCATCATGGTGTCTCAATGAAACCTAGTTATTTTGAAAGGAAAGTTAATTTCTTTTTTTGACAAGTTTAGGACAAATAGATGTAATAGTTCATAGCATCTTGTTAAAATTCATATTCAATTTCAAACATCTACAATTGACTTATATTTAATTAATATTCCACAAATTATTGAACACTGGTAATTAATGATTTTTGGAAACAAATTCATTCTGTTAAACGATGTAGCTATATAAAACGTAGAAGCTACAGCCATAATATATCATACTGTAATTAGCTCCAACCAAAACATTTTCATCAGTGCGAAGAGACTCTAGCTTCTTCAAAGCTTTAATAGCCATTTACATAAAGTAAAATAGTCAGATAATAGGTACAAACAACAACTTATAAGTCAGAACTTAAGAGGTGTACTTCAGTATCTAAAGGTTTTAGGTTAAGCATAACCAATACACATTACATGCACTACCACTTCAGTAATTGTAGGAAAAAAATAACGGAGTTTCTATTAAAGGATCACATTGTCCTCAAATGTAATGTTTTAGGTATCTAGATTTGATTATTAACAAGGAGCAATTGAAAAGGATGTATGCATGGGATTAGACTAGATTGAATGGGAAATGAGAAGTGCTACAAGAATTATCTGTGATAAAAAAGATACAAGGTTAAAATGCAGGTTCTATAGAACAATGATTAGAGCTGCTATGCTTTACAGTTTTGAGCATGGTTATTGACAGAGAAATGATAAGATGACTGTAATGAATATGAGGATGCTTAAATGTATGTGATTATACTACAATGTATAAGATGAAAAAATTAGAATATATGTCAACAAGTGAAAGTGGCGCAAGATAAATTAAGGAATAAAGAAAATATTTTGCGTAGACCTAAAGAGGCTCACGTTTATAAGAGTGACATGATTAGAGTAGAACAAGTCTGAAGGAGAATGTTGTGCATGTGTATGTTCGTGCGTACATATTCGAGTACAAGCCCAAAGACATGGAAGGTTGTACCTAGCAAATATTGCACACCTCAAAATCAACCTGGTATCTTGGTCCAAGCTGCACTCGCATCTCAGTCCATTTATACAGGACAATTGCCTAGATTGTTTTGTTTGCTTTTTCTCCAATAGTCTACATCACTTGAACATCATAGCCTGCTAGTTGGCCGACTCATCTCGCACAGCAAACCTGTGGCCGCATAAAAAGCATCCGGACCAGGTCAAAATAAGGAGCTTTCTGGGGAAATAGGTACTAGTCCCTGGACCCAATGCTTCACCTCATGCATTGTGTAGGATCCAAATCGATCGTACTAAAAAACGAAAAAATGAACAATCCAAATCCTAAAGTTCCTGGATTTCCTTCAGCCCTTGCGTGCTTCTCTTTTGAAAATGGCTTCTTCAAATACCCCATAAATTAAACACGGGCTAACACCATAAATACAATCAGGATAGAGAATGATTAGTTCATGTTTGGGTCAAGGGGACGGGTGACCCGAAACACCTTCCTCCGATATGAACAAACCATCAGTGCTTGCCTACATGGAGGAGTTTGTCTTGACTTCCATGGCTCGCGGTTCGACCTCCAAAAAAGAAATTGAGGTCAAGCATGACGCTATAGGTGTCAAATATAGTTGAGGAGAAAATCTAACAGGACATTTTTCCATCCTCTTCACATGATAGGCAAGAATTTGACCCAAGATTCCCACCTCTGGAGACTTTGAATTCATCAAGTTATGCAAATTGGCAACATCATTCAATGTCTACTATGAGATAAGACCTACTCTTCACATCAGTCCATTCTCATTAACCAAACTCCTAGCCTAAGAAATTGTAAATTAATCAGGGAAATCAAATGCAATTCGAGGTGACCGCCACTATAAAAAGCCTGAACTGACCCAGGCCAATTCAGGCACTGACATGGAAGGAGTTGCAGGCCACTGGATCAGTGTCAAAAATTGCTATTCTCAACTCCCATGTGAATATGAATAAAAATTTCCATTTTCAGAGATTCTTGATCACTGAGGCCAAATACTACATCACTCAGTGTCCCAAAACAGGAAAACCTTTTAGGTTCAGGCTTAGAAATTAATCTGCCTATACGAGATGAAAAAAATAAATTAAAGTAGAACCATACATCAAATACAAGAGGTCACAGCTCTCAAGCACACAAAACGGTGAACCTCAGCCTAAGCCTGAAAGGGACTAGAACAACCATATAACATGAATACTCCAAGGTATCTTCAAATGTAATTGGCAAGCCCAAAGGTAAGTGCAGTCATTCTAGTCCTGTGCCTCCAAACACGAATTGTACTACAAAGAATTCACAAAGATTATTCAACTGACCAAAACAACCAAATAATTATCATGATTCAATATCTTAGAATGGGAACAGACCGTTTGCCACATCCTTGGATGATCACTTACAAGCAACTAATACCATGAGATCATTAAAAGTGAAGAAAATAACTTTACAGCAGACAACTAAGAACTGGTAATTGCAGCTTTTAAATCAACCGTATCAGGAAAAAAACCTGTTCTCTATTTAGGTCAATTATTGAGACAGCGCTGTGAAGTGCACCAGTAAGACAAGAAAATATAAAAATCCCGAATTAATTATTGTGCAGTCAGCAAGCCAATTGTTCGAAACTCCAAATAGTGACAATCACTGAAATTGCAAGAAACAGATGCAAAGACATTGGAGATGCCCCAAAGCAATTTCCAACCATCTATCATATAAGAGGGAGATGTAGAAATTGGAGCATCAAACTTACCGGTTCAACTTGAATTGCTTGCATGTTATCAGGTCCACTACCTTGAACACGAAATAGTGCAAGTCCGTCCTCTCTATATGTATCATCTTCAAGTTCCTTCTCTGATATGTATTGCTTGTACCCTTCACTGAGACCACCCTGGTGATATTTAGAAAATATGTTAAAATCAACCATCTAATAAGCACTGGTTGTAATATAAGTAATAACTTCATAAGAGAAATGAATTTGTGGGAATATGTTCCTAGAATTTGTAGCTCTACCAAACCTTAAAGACAATAAAGCTCTGAAATATGGCAAAGAACTGGACTGGTTCTTTTCCTTCATAGATGCGAGCCTAGAAATTCACAATAACCAAACTATCAGTATAATTATAGAGACAAATATTAAAATTCAAGAACAAAATCACAGGCATTGAGGAAGGTAATGTACCTGAGTAGGTAAGAATTTTAGTGACTCGACCATCTTGCTTGCTAGTGAAGTTGCTGAGACTCTATCTCCCTACAGTGCATGAAAGCAGAAATAATAGTGCCATCAATAACAATGATTTTAAATAGACATGATCATGGCATCAATAGATGTTAAACTTTTAAGTCCCATTTATATACTATTATAATTATTGTTTATATGTGTGAGAAGATGAATAAGATATAGATTACAGGCAAATATCAAATAAAAAATTGATTACTTTCAATATTGCCAGCACAAATACAATTGGGCATAGAAACATTCAAATAGCAAGATTTTTTTCTACCGGCATTAATGTCAACTAGGCTTTAGAGTTGCAAGTTTGAAATTTTTGCTTTAGTTTATGGAATGAATACATATAATGTCATCAACACTAAAAGGTAACTAATACGGTGGTTTCATCTGATTAATTATAACTATTTTTGCACGTTTTCTTTTGTGTATTTATTTTCTGAAGATTATTTCAATACATTCTGGATGAAATTTGTTAGTTCTTCAATTTAAAATTTTCTTCATTTTGGAACATTTATCCGATTCAAAGTTGTCGTCTGGGGGCTTCATTTTATAAATCTCTCTTTATAAGTTTCCTTGGAACTTGATCTGAGCTCTCATAAGAATTATTCAAAGATCTTTGATCTTCCCCAATTGACTTATAAATTGCTAAACGGTATACAAGTAGACATTCATATTTTTTACCAGAAAGTTAGAAGCAGGACATTGTAAACTTATATAACAGGCCCTACTGCATACTGTTGTTTCATTTTTAGGATTTTTGTTTAGCTTCCTTATATTGGTAAAATTAGAGAATTAGTTTGCCAATATAAACAAAAGGATTTACACACTTTTCAATTGACCAATTCATTACAATAAAATTACTCTACAAATTTTCGAGTTGGTTCAACTCTATTCTTGTTTATAGACTTCAATTCCACTTGCGCAACAAAATTGATATCAGAGCAAGATTTTGCCCTTGGCTAATTACCACCTATGGAGGTAGTTTCATGTATCCCTGCGATGATAATTGGAGGATTACAAAACTACCAACATTGATCTGGAATCTAGAATAAATTATGGATAGGTTTGAAGAGATGCTAACAAAAATTTGCAAATTTTGATTCAACACGTTTGAAACACGGAAACAAGTGACTAAAGATTTTCCTCAAGTCCAAGCTAAGTTCGAATTCCTACAAGGTGATGAAGAAATTTTGCAGATTTTTCCTTCTCATTCATTAATTCTCTTCTTCAACTAAACTTGAGGACAAATTTTTCCAAGCCGGAGAGATTATGTAGAAAAATCCTATTATAAATAGGAAAGAAGTTAGTTATTATTATAGTAGGATTTTGTTTCCTTTTAGATTATGGTTTTGTTTCCTTTGAGGATTCTAGTTTTCTTTCCTTTTAGGATTCAAGTTTAGTTTTCTTATATTGGTAAGATTATGAAATTATTTTGCCTAATATAAAAAAGGTCTTTGTACACTTTTCAATTGAACAGTTCATTACAGCAAAATTATTCTCTACAAATTTTCGAGTTGGTTCAACATTATTCTTGTTTTAAGAACTTTAATTCCGCTCAGCACCAATTAATACTACTGGCTCAGAATTACAGAAACTCTCTCTTGATATCAACGTATAAGAAATCAAGTTTTTCCACTAAGGACACATGAAAAAGGGAAAAAAACTACCAAACATTTTTCACCTCAGCACTTTGCATCCCCCACCATGTCCCAACGAGATGTTCCTCTACTTCTTCTCCGGGATAAGAATACTGGAAGATATAACAATCCCCACTGTAAAACTTGGACTGATCGGAAGCTGGAAGAAGAGTCTTCCCTTTACCATTCACTCGCCAAACCTGTCCATTGAAAGCAATAAAACAGTGGATTAGTAAAGAAACGAATCAAGAATTACAGTTGTAATGAAAAGGACAGAGCTAATATACAAGTTAAGAGATACGAAAATGAACGGGCTGATGAAAATATTGTTTGCCAAGTGAGGAAGGGCGTTGTTGCTTTGTACAAAGCTGAATAAAGCTATCAAGCATTAGATAAATGTGGTTCATTCTAAGCTTTGTTGCTTGGTGCTAAACATGAAAATTATAGCTTTTGATCACTGCTATGAAACCACTGTAGATTAACTTCTTTTTCCATAGACAACTAGCTATATCCCAACTTTATGGCCTTCTAAACAATTCTAGGCTCTCTTTTTTCACACGATTTTCTTCACTAATATCAGTTTCATAATATGATAAAATAGAAGAGTAAAATAAAATGATCTATCTTCTGAAGCACTATATATCACAGAAAATCCATCTATAGATTGAAAGGCAGAGAGAAGCCCTATACCTGTAAATTGCCCGAGCAGTCTATATATAGTTGAAGTTCTTCCTTGGGAGATTCAGCTTTCGAAAGACCCTTAACATTAAGCCCTTGGCGCTTTAGAATTGCTAGGAAACATCAAAATAAAGACACAGAGGTTAGGCTACTGAGAACGTTTTGGAAAATCAGGAGCATGGGGAATATCTAATGGAAAAGGAAAAACGTATTGCATGTGAATGATAATTGAGAGAGAACAAATCTGCAATATGTACTACAAACCTGCAACCTTCCCTCTGCCTTCCTCAGTTACAGCCAAATTTGTTGATTGGTGCCAAGAATCAAACTTCGAGCGGAAAGTAATTGTTTCAAATCCCTCAATTAAACGGATTATACGAGCTTTAGGTCTATCAGTGGTATCAAGTAATTCCTAAACAAATGAGAGTGAGAGTAAGACAACGGACGAGAATATGGATCCGGAAATTCGGATTAACCCTTAAGTAACTAAAGCATGTAGAATTACTTCAGCAGCTTCGCTAGCAATTTTCCTCTGGTCAAGAGAAGTATTTCTGCCAGTCCACACAAAGACTTCTGACCCACAGTCAAGAATATAGCATTTGTACGTGTCTAACAACTTCCTTGTTAAAGAATCAGCTTCAACAGGTTGCATCTGTCCCTTCTCAACCCTTGGAATAGCAAACACATATTTGTCAGAACTATAAGAAGAGAGTTTATAGTTTCTTCTCACAATACAAACATAATGATGGAAATTTTTGCATCAAATGTTTTGAAATATAATCAGAACTTTTTTCTCTGTTGGGAGGGACACTAGAAATTAAGTAAAGATATATATCTATTGAACATCACGGGATTGTAGTAAATATCAATGCCAAAAGAAACTAAATGAAACAATTTTATACTCTTCTCCAAGCTGAGGACCAATTAACATCCCCATAGAATGGAGGAAAGGAAGGATAGTTATAAAACAATTTATTTCATTCGAGTGTCAGTCAGAAAATTCATATGTGAATTCAAACAGACTGACTCTTTTCTACATGTAAGCGCAAGGAATATGTTGTATGTAATATGAATTGCTTATATTATTAAAACCAAGTCTTTCGATGCCTCAGAGCCTCATGAATTTCTTGATCAACACATATGGTAATAATGTGGCTGTATTAAAGACATGAGACACCAGAAAAGCAGTGTGAATAGCAGAAACTTACCAGAAAAGCTTACTAGGAACAGCATCAGTACTTTCGGTATCATTATTAGCTGTTTTCCTAGGAAGAGGAGCAAAGCCACCAAACAAACCCCAAAATTCTCCAGTATCAGCATCAGCCATTAATTTCCCATCCTCTACATAGTAAAATGAAGCATAGGTATAAGGGAATGGGCATTCAGTCAATTTCCCAAGCATCCAAGTGTTAGTATGCTTACCAATAGCTGATATCTCACATTTGCCATCGTGATAAGTATCTTTAATGTACTGAACAACTTCCAGTGCTTTAGCCCTTTCTTGAATAGTAGAGTTGGAACCATTGAATTGAAAGATTTTAGACTTGGTATTGAGAATAAAAATATCATCGTGATTGAGTGAAGATCGAACAAAAGGCACCTGTCATGCCATATAAGAAGTTGCTAATGAAAAGGTCAGTTCAAAGGATGAAACATAATAGAAGTGCAGATGAAACAAGGAACTTGCTTCTTTCACTTGAACAACATGCTTTCCTTTGCATACAAACAAACGGATCTTGTGCTCTTCGGCCTCAGCATGCTTGAAGCCTGAAGCAACTCCACCTTCTTGAGGTATTATACAGGGCTTAAAATAAGAAAGGAACCTCTCAGTTTCTTGACCTTGAGGTTCACGATATTGAACAGCACGCCCCCCAAGAGTTGCATCTAGTTCAATAGTTTTAATGGCTGCAGTGCTGGCTTCATCCTATATAGAACAGTAATTAGAATAAGATACTGTAACTGAACTTAAATCTGATAATCGATAAGAATAGAAAAACTTACTTGACTAGTATCTTTACCAAGCCAATAGTGAATATCATGGTGAAGGGCACCGCTTTTCGAAGCACTGGTCTGCAGGAAGGAGATTAATGATTTTACCCATAAAGTAGCTCCAACATTTCACAGCAAAGATGAAGGTTGAGTCAATGATGAAATTGAAATAGCAGAATGCATAGAAAGTACAAAAGTTTGTGGTTGATATTTGCAACAAACACTGAAAAGGCAATGGCCATAAGAGCCAGCCTGCTCACACCAGTATCCAAAAAAGTTATGGGGGGCCAAAAGAAGTATATTAATGGATCATATCATTTGCACTGAGTATATCACAAAGGTGACGTATACGGTCCCCTTCCATTGAGATATTATTTCCCTATTTTACTAGTATAATACCCTATCAGTCTGTAGGCATTCATAATAATTTGGGCCTCACCTCTTTTCGCTCAATTATTATTACCACGATGCAATTCAAGAAGTTAGTTTTGGAGAGCAATTAACACTCCCCAGAACAAGAGAGAAAAAACACTTACCTTCAAAATCACATAGGAATCTCCCATAAAAAAATTGCCATATGAAGACTTTGGGACTGGGACAGGATTGAATTTTTCAATTCGCCATATCTCAGTTCCACTATATAAAGTCAAGGAGCATAAAAACAGAAAGCAAGTACATATAGATCCTTGATGATGGGATATCAGTAATATTGCAACCAAAAAAAGTTCCTGTTGGTTACTTCTGCAATTCAAAACTGTACTTTAATAGGTACCTCTTGAATTCTTACCAAAAAAAAAAAAAAAATCCTTTTCCAAACAGGAAATACAAAAGCGGATAATATTAACATTTCAATTACAACTTGATAGTTACTTCAATAAAAGTTCAGTATGCTAACATAAGGATACGCCTTCTGTCCAGCCCCTTGAAAGGCTGGATCCAAATTTCTCATTGAAACAGACATTCACAGGCTTCTTTAAAGTAGTCTTTTCTCAACTTTGACTTGAAAATAGACAAGAAAGACCTTTGTCGGTCATTAAGTGAATACAAAAACAACCAAAAATGAAAAACAATCGAGGGAAAAAGAATAAACAAACCAGCAAAAGGGAAATCAATAATGCACAAAGCAGAAGTACTGAACTAGTTTTGGCACCAAAGCAACCGTGGAAAAAAAAAACATTGTGTGATGAGCTAACACGTGATGCCTCTACGGAAACAGTGAATTTAATTGATGGAGAAGAACCCTCAGGTCAAACTTTAATGTTAGTATTAGATGAAAAATGATAAAAATCAGAATGAACAGATCTGAAATATGCACAGTGATGAAGCTTTGCAGGATGAGCAAGATATTTCAATATTTGTTGTGAAATTGTCGAATTTCCTTTGTGAAAAGCAAATAGTTGACAACGTTACTCATTGCCAGAGGAGAAATCTTAGGAAACATGAAACCTCATGACTATAATTGCCTTAGCAAGAGGAAAACTCAACCCTAAAACTACTATAAATTGCTACTTCCGACTAACTTGTATATTTCCGGCTAGACACTTTCATAAGGAGAAATACAAGTACCTGAAAGCAACCATGAAAGCCAACCTGGGTTATCTTTAATTTGTGAATGCAATGAAACACATCTAAAGCAACTTCATATTGCCAATTCCATCTAAAAGTAAGGAAAACAAAGTGCCTCACACATGTTCCTTCACAAACATTTTCCACGTTTCAAGCCCATTCTCTAGCATGGTTGTACCCTTGGAAGGATATTTCTCTACAATGCTATGGTTTCAGGTTTGCTTCTCATTTCCGTTAGTCATGCAGACTTCCTTGCATGTCAATACAGCAAAAAGATATTCAGCATCTCCATACATGCTTCCGTGCTTGCTTTTCCTTAGGGGGCAAAGTGGCTAAATTTCCATGTTTGCCTTTGCAAAAATGCCCATTAAATATCCCAACTATGCAGCAAAAGTTGAATACCACAATAGAAACTTTACCTGTGGACCGAATGGACCACTTCAAAATGGCATCTCTCTTTATCCCAAGGCGAACCTCAATTTCAATAGCTTCACATTCATTATCATCAAGCTAGACTTGAACTAATCACATTTCACCCGGCACCAAAAACAAGTTCTTCCTATCTCTATGTGAGGGGGACGACAGCAGCACAAGCAGAAGAAGAAGATTTTTTGACCCCGAAAAAAGAGAAGGCAGAGCTGTAAATCAACTCGCACAACAAAATTCTATTCTCAGAAATCAAATCCTAAAATTTCAACATCCAGAAAGTAGGCTGATCCCTACAAATTTATTTTTTAATCCTTTTCTTGGGTTCATTCATCTTGAAATTCTAAATCTCTTATTTAAAGAATAAAGAAGATTTTTCAGTGCCCAAATACACGATTTACGAAAAAAGACAGTCTTTCCAGCATTCATACATACCAAACTTTAAATTTCCAAAGCATCAACATAATCTGCATTCATATAATCAAACACAAATACATGGTAATCTTACATCAAAAAAATATAGTCACTAAAAAATCAGAATAACGCAGAGAAATAGAGTACGTTAATTACTTTCTAATCTTGAGGTAATAATTTTGCAGCTGACCCAAATTAGATCCAATCTAGTCACACCATTAAGCTCAATTAACAGAACCCACTTAAGAAAACATTTTTTTTTTTCATTCAATAATAAAAGTTGGCTCTCAGATTAAGAAAGAAAAAGAGAAAAATTTTCAATGTAAGAGAGAAGTGGAATATGTGCGAGTGTGTGCCGGGGGGCGGAGGGGTGGGGGGTTCTGATGATTAGTTGCCTGCCAGGCGTGCCAATCACTAACAATAGCTAGGAAAAGGAAGGCACATTCGCCCATAACGGAGAAATGAACTGTTTATCCATTAAACAACAGATTAATGTAAAAGAATTCAAGAAAAAATAATACATTGCTTAATTTTTGTGTTTAATGTATAATTATAGTCAGCTTTTTGGGTAAAATTACAGTAAAAAGAAAAGAAAAGAAAAGAAAAAGCAGAGGGGGTGAAAATGGAAAGATTAAAAATAAAAAGTAGCATGCATGAGCTTTTAAACGAAAAATTTGTTACAAGAGGTGTATTTTATTTTAATTTTTATTGTGACTGCACATAAAAGTTACTCTTACAAGCAAATAGCCAAACATCCTCTTAATCAAGAGAATGAGCCTGTTTTGGTGTTGGTTGTCAAAAATGAGCCCATGTAAATAAATGTTATTTGAAGTTCATTTTTCTTTAAATTTATTTTTCTATATATTTTTCAATGATGAGAGAGAGAGAGAGAGAGAGAGGGGTGGATTGGGGTGGGGTCACATGCTAAAAGGAAAATAAATTTATTTTTAAATTACAAACATTTTTTAATTTATTGATATTATTTGCTTGATTTTGTAACTTGTAATGTTGTTCAATGTTTCAAATTCAACTGCTTCTTAACTTTGTTGATAGTTATTTGTTTGATTTTGTGGATTGATGAAATTATTTTTTTAAATGACAAAATTATGTTTTTTTTTCTTTCTAATAAATGATAAATTTTATTTCTTAATTATAAAGTTAGAATTATTTTGCATATATTGAAAAGTTGTATGATTTTGTCATAATAGTGAGAAATACAATAAAATCAATGAATAAAATTATGTTAAATTTTTATAAATTTCATTCAAACTTTTTAAATTTATTGTGTAAAACGTGCATACCTCTCATTGTTTGACATCTTCACCATTATTTCTTCTTTTCATTGTCAAAAATGTCATTTCATCCACTTACCGTCGGTTGCTCGTTAATTCAATGCAAAAAAGCCAAATATCTTTTTAAACACCAAAGATAAAATAGTTCTAACCCATTTAATCCCTTATTTTTGCTTTCAAAATAGTTATTCCAAGGGTACTAGTAAAGTGAATGTAAAAATAATTTATAAAATTATTACATAAAATAAAGAAAAAAAATGCCATAAAAATTTATATGTAAATCAAAATCTTTTTCATTTTTTTTAACTACAAATTCTTCCAAAAATCACTATTCTAAATTGTATTTTTCAAAACTAGGCTCAAACAAATATTCAAGGGATGTTTTCAAGAATGGGCAATTTTATGGGTGTGAATTGAAAACTGTATCTTTCTTATAATTCTTGCAAAAATGGCCAAATTTGAACACAAATTTTCTATTTTACCCTTAATGAAATAATTACTCTATTTGTATTCTTTTCCCTCTAATTTGACACATATTTCAAGAAAAGCAAGTGGCTTCCATGAGAAGCCATCATACTTGTAGTCATTACCAAGGTGAGTTCATTGGTTTACATTTTTAATTAAATATTAATCAATTATTGCAGGAAAATTGAAGAAACAAAGAAGTATAAATACATATATTGAAGTGAATCCTGTTATGTCATTCTCGACATTTTATAAATGTCGAGAATGATAGTTTAAATGTAATTTTCCAAATTTCAAATGTCATTTTCAAATTTTCGAATGTCGAGAATAACATTGAACAATAAACAAATTTAGGGAACATTTTGGGTACAACATTTCACGTATTGCATGTGGCTAGGGAGATGTTATTAACCGATAATTTTTTTTGTTTATGGCATGCAGATATGGAAGATGTTATGAGATTCATTGTATCTTACGGTGGTACATTCGTCAACATGGATGACACGTGGAAGTGGTTAGGGGACCGAGCAACATCAATTGTTATTCAACGTGATATTAGATATGAAGAGCTTGTACACATATTATTAGATAAATTGAATATTAACAGAATGAAGTTTCGAATTCAATTGAAATTTAAAGTTCCGAACATGAATATACACACTGCTGATGTATACGATGATGAATTTTTAAATTTATTGTGTAAAACGTTCATACCTCTCATTGTTTGACATCTTCACCATTATTTCCTCTTTTCATTGTCAAAAATGTCATTTCATCCACTTACCGTCAGTTGCTCGTTAATTCAATGCAAAAAAGCCAATTATCTTTTTAAACACCAAGGATAAAATAGTTCTAACCCATTTAATCCCTTATTTTTGCTTTCAAAATAGTTATTCCAAGGGTACTAGTAAAGTGAATGTAAAAATAATTTATAAAATTATTACATAAAATAAAGAAAAAAATGCCATAAAAATTTATATGTAAATCAAAATCTTTTTCAATTTTTTTAACTACAAATTCTTCCAAAAATCACTATTCTAAATTGTATTTTTCAAAACTAGGCTCAAACAAATATTCAAGGGATATTTTCAAGAATGGCCAATTTTATGGGTGTGAATTGAAAACTGTCTCTTTCTTATAATTCTTGCAAAAATGGCCAAATTTGAACACAAATTTTCTATTTTACCCTTAATGAAATAATTACTCTATTTGTATTCTTTTCCCTCTAATTTGACACATATTTCAAGAAAAGCAAGTGGCTTCCATGAGAAGCCATCATACTTGTAGTCATTACCAAGGTGAGTTCATTGGTTTACATTTTTAATTAAATATTAATCAATTATTGCAAGAAAATTGAAGAAACAAAGAAGTATAAATACATATATTGAAGTGAATCCCGTTATGTCATTCTCGACATTTTATAAATGTCGAGAATGATAGTTTAAATGTAATTTTCCAATTTTCAAATGTCATTTTCAAAGTTTTGAATGTCGAGAATAACATTGAACAATAAACAAACTTATGGAACATTTTGGGTACAACATTTCACGTATTGCATGCGGCTAGGGAGATGTTATTAATCGATAATTTTTTTTGTTTATGGCATGCAGATATGGAAGATGTTATGAGATTCATTGTATCGTACGGTGGTACATTCGTCAACATAGATAACACTTGGAAGTGGTTAGGGGACCGAGCAACATCAATTGTTATTCAACGTGATATTAGATATGAAGAGCTTGTACACATATTATTAGATAAATTGAATATTAACAGAATGAAGTTTCGAATTCAATTGAAATTTAAAGTTCCGAACATGAATATACACACTGCTGATGTATACGATGATGAAATTCGAGAAATTGAATATTGACAGATTGAGTTGTTCCTCATGCCATTTGTTCTATCGAAGTGTTACCCCCAAATATACGTCGAGCACCAGGTCGCCTTCCTACACAACATAAACGATCAAGAACTGAAAAGTCGAATAGCACATGAAAATGTGGCCTATGTTGGAGGTCTGGACACAACAGGCAAAATTAGGAACTCGACACCTTCAAGTAACACGTGCACTTGAATGACATTGTGTTTTTTACTATGAACTAATTTGCTAACATAGATTATCAGTGTTTTTAATCTTTGTTTTGATGCATTACATGCTTTCTATCTTTTTTGTTTCCAATTGTAATGTTCATAGTGTATTACTCGGTTGGGTTTCCTAATACTACGTCATGACTAGAGTTTACTTCATCGTTGTAATGCGTATGAAAGAAGCCATGAATGACTCGTACTCATAAGTCACTGGACGATACAAAATGTTCGAGGTCACTACATACACAAAATGGTGATCACCAGAAAACATACCCACTACCTACATGAATTTTTATGGAGCAAGTAGTTAATGCTAGTAATTTCATATTAAAGCCCATTGAATTGTTGTATGATTGAACTGTACGTATTTTCCTATTCATTTTCTCAACATTTGAAAAATTGTTATCGACATTTGTATTCGAATCATCTCGATACTTGACATTACATTTGTCTATAACGACATTTCATCCAAAACAGGAGATTTCTCTACATTTCATACGAATTCTCGACATTTTATCTGTCATTCTCAACATTAGATACATGCCAATCTCGACACTTGATATTTCAACTGTCAGGAACGACAGTTCGTAAATGTACACATAATTGGGGCAACCACATCTGAGGATCTCCCAAACGAGCCAACGAGATTAGAGTTTGTTCAGGTGGATTGAAAGCCTTTGCAGATTCACTAGCTCATACCCAATATTTATTGGTAAGTCACTTTGTTGAAACTTGCATTCAATTCTACTAACGACCTGAAAAAGAAAAATCTGAAAATCTAGCGCAATTATGGAAAATAAGTTATTTAGCAATAAACAAACTTTTTATCCACACATTTCATAAGACCAATAACTTAATAGCCACTTATTATTCACACATTCCGTAGACGCGTAGCTTATAAGCACTTAAAAGCACTACCAAACAATCACATAAGAATAATGTTAGAGGTATATAATGATGCACATAATGGTGTACATAATGGTGATGTGTCAATCATTCAGTTGTTGATGTGTAAGAGTGAAATTTGAATTAAAGGTTGGATCATATGCCACATGTAATTATGTGAACCCTTATGTAAATGCTTATGTACTTGTAGCATTACTCATCATATAAATACTTTAGAATTCAAAAACTATTGAATAGTAGCAGAATAGAGAGCTTCCGAAATAAAACTATGGCCCTGTTTGAGAGAAATTTTAATCAAGATTTTAATCAAAATTCTAGCCGTTAACTATCAAATCAGCCACCATTTTTTACTTTCCCTCTCACAAGTGGGGCCCAC